TATATATATATAAAGAATCTGTGCAATAATTTTCGTCTTGAAATACATTGCAGGCATCTCCAACAATCTCAAACCACTGGAATAGTATCATGGGCATTTCCAACCTGTCTCCAGAGCACTGAAGTTGTATTATGATTCCAACATGCCAAGCCAGTGTTAGATCAGGTGTGCAAAGAAAACATGATCTGCATGGCCTAGAATGCAGTTCTGCAAGTCATGCACGTGAAAATAATCTGGCTTTCAAAAACTTTCTGCCTAAAATATTACCCCACATCTTGGTAGCTGCTTGGTTTCAGACACTCTGCTCAGTGAGACTGCTATGAAAAATTCAAATATTTACTTCAGTATCATCTTCTTTCCCACACCTTTAAGTTGCTGATCACAGCCTAGACAACAACTTTAAGGAATTTTTTGTTATTGCATTATATGTATTACGACTTGTGGTTTTGCCTGATTTCTATTATAAACTTAATTTGTTATAAAATCAGCCACATTTGAACTCCATGTAGCAGCATTAAGTCATTGTTTGTACATGTGCTGCATTAACCTGTTTCTTCTGGTAAAACTACAATCTTACCAAAGTAATTCCTTTTTTGCAAGTTGATCAGGTTTTGTTTACTACAGTATAAATGAGAGGAGCACTAGTTCAGTACATACAAACACATAGATCAGTCCTTTTAAGGTACTTATGCCTTAGGCCACCCATCTTTAGGTTTTTCCCCATCATAGTTTCATTGTTCAAACAGGAGAAATCAATGTAGTTCCCCTCTGAGTTTGTTTGTGTTGCCATTGGTAGCAAATTGAAGTTTCTAGTATTTGCAGTTTTATTCAGGTGTTCGGAGAGCTGAGACTGTAATTTACACAACATATTTTGTAATCTTATTTTCATCATACCTCTAGGCTTGTAGCCGTTTGGCTTTCTACCTTCAGAGCATTACATCACATTTTAATTGATTGACTTGGCCATAATTGAAGAAAACTATGCTGACATACAGTAAATCATGTCAAACAATGCAGCAATAATCCACCCTCACCTGGTGCTTTGTTATTGCTGTTGGTGTCAGTGATGATTTGTAGAAGAGCAGTAAAAGCAGT